CCCTATGCTCTTTCCCTGTTTTTTTTCCCACCACTAGAAAAGGGGAGGAGGATGGAAAACGTGAAGACACCTACACTGTTTCCTCTTGATTCAGATCAAATAGAACGGTTTGCTTCTTGTTTCAATGAAAACCCCTTTGAAAGGTACCCACATGTTCGTGATAAACCAGCAGTTGCATCTCCACTAGGTGCAGATGCAGGCATTGCAAAGGCAAAAGGCCCCCATGTCTTTGGGCGGCTTTCAGAGGCCAACAGGCACTTGTACCATCTCAGCTCTGATTTCGCTCCATTGCTATCAATGGAATCGCTCCTGGTTTATAGCTAGGGAGTGAAAGGACAGGGAAGCCCGAAGACTTGCTTAGCTTCCTTTTATAATAAAAAGGGGGTTTTGCTTTGGGATGGGATTGTCCTTTTAGTGCCTCGTAATATATTTATTAGAGCTCTCCAAACCACGAGAAGTGAGGGCTCAGGCCTGTAGTGTGCAGCTGGTCCCTAGCACAGCTGGAACCACGGCCCTTGGTCTGAACGGTCTAAACTTTGGGTCTGGGTCCTGAAACAAGCTTCATGGCATGAATTGTGCCCATGCAAAGGGACGCGGGGCTAGGGAAAGCCCATTGGAAAGCAGCACAGCTGCTCCCTCGATAAGGAGGAAGGATTCCTAGACACCAAAGTGCCCTTCTCTGCAGTCGCAGACTTCCAGCTCTGGGTTTCAACCCTTTTTAGCCTCTTCCTGAAGAGCAGGAGCTCTCGACTGTGAGGAACCCAGCCCAGACGATGTTTTGTTTAATGGATGTGAGCAAGAGGCCCCTTCAGCAATTTCTAAATACCAGGCTTTTATTAGTGGGACAGCGAGCCCTCCCTGCATGGACTCCGGCTCCCGGTGTACGAAAGGCCAATGCCATTTTTTACAGAGCAAATCTTATTAAGGGAGAAAAGATTGAATTTTCCTCCCTTCACCTCCTGGCTTCCTCAGCTGAGCTGCTCTTTTCCAGCAGCAGCCCCGGCAGATCTCGAGGTGATTAACAAATATTCCAGGTGGAGTAAGTCTGCACTCGCGTGTACGAGGGGAAAATCCGCAGAGCCTTTCTTAGTGCTTGAGAAAGGGGAGAAGAAAAAAAAGCACGTGGCGACTTGGCTCAGGGAAAGGCAATTTAGCTTCCATCGCTCTGCGGTCACCGGTGCTAATAGAGTCTGGGCCTCGGTAGGCAGTGCAAGCGAATTAAGGGCTTAGAGTCTGATCTCGGTTACACTGATGTAAATCCCAAGCACCTCGGAGCTGAGTGCAGCTAGTCTGGACAGGCTCCAGCGTAACTGCGTTCAAGGACCCGGCCTGGTGCTCGCTCCTCACCGAGATGACCCTGCCCTGCTCTTGCAAAGGCAACGCAAGGAGATGCTTGTGCCCGCGTGAGCTACCCACATGGTTCCTCAGCAGGATCAGGGCCCTCCAGCAGTTGGGTGACGTCTGTTCTCTGCCTTTGTCCACCATGGCTAATTCAGCTCCTTCATTAGTAGCAATCATGGGAGCACTGTTTCAGGTTGTCACTGGCATCGTAACCAATGGCACCCAATGCTGGATCTGTTTTTGGTAAAGCCCCAGCTCCTGGAGTCAAGTGATGACGTGCAGAGATGCATCCCAAAGGCAGCTGGGTGAAGAACCCCAACATGGAGCGGTTTATACAATGGCATGGCGTTTAAGTCAGCCTCATATTTGCGGTGAGAAGCTGGGTGTCTGATCCGGAGAGCAGGGGAGCCTGCCTACCCCGTCCAGCCTCTGCAGACCGTAGCAGACTCCCGCGCCGTCATGACCAGCCCCCTTGGGCATTGCCTGCCTTGGAGCAGGGTGATAACTAGACCTGGATAAGCAAGGGCTTAAGTGCATCTCCGGAGCTGCCCTGTTTCGGGGCCTGCTGCTTTCAAAGGGCTGTTTTTCCGCAGAAGACAACGCAGGGAAAACCCACTCTCACTCTTCCGTCTTCCACTTCCTTCGCACCTCGCTGCACCCACTTTTCATGACCCGTTGCCAACCATGTTCCCGCCAGGTCCCGCCCTCCCTCTCCCTGTTATTCTTGGCTCTTGCTGGGATTCGCTCCTGTTTGCACTCGTCTGAAACACGAGCTTGTTTGATTTTTTTGCTGTTGTTTTCAGGCATTGCCATACCTGTCTCGAGTCGCTGGGTATCCGTGTCTGAGAAGGGCAGTGGGGAATAGTAGCAGGTCCTAGTAGCTTTCTGGATGGTTTGTGTCTCAGCTCCCCAAACTGACTGGCAGGATACCACTGCCAGAGTCCCATACCGGCTTTACTTTGCATTTATACGACTTGTTTAAGGCTACCTGTACCGGTGTCTTACAGAGGATGGAGAATGAGGTAACGTTTTAGGACTTGTGTCTTTTGTATAGCCCGTTCCTATGCTTCCTGCAGGGCAGAGCGCTCTCCTATGCGGTGCCCCATGGTAGGTCTGGGGCATCTACGAAGGTTTTTCACAGGCTACGCCCATTTGTAATGCAGGGCAAGGCCCTGATTCATAGTATACACCCATACTTGGAGCCTTTCAAGCCTCCTCCGTGCCTTTCATGTGGGGACCTTGGATTCTTTTGAAAGGATCAATAAACGAAGCTTCACAACGCCTCCGCAAAGGTGGTCAGTGTTACTAACCCAGCACAACAATTCGGGAAACTGAGGCACGGGGAGGTGCGCTGGCTAAAATCCTTGCGTTAATAAATGGGGTCAGGCCTGGGTGGCTTTGGGGATGCTGCCAGGTTTGGAACCGGCGATGGATGCGACTGCTCTGGCCCACAGCTGTTTTCATACACATTTTGGCGATTGCTTTCCTCCTCTTTGATTTTTCCGATTTGGATTTTGCAGTGCTCACTCTCACTGGGCAGCAAACGCTTTGTTCATACTGCGGTAGTACCTAGGAACACCCATCCTGGGCCCAAAACCACGTGTGCTAGGTGCTGTCCAAATGCATGCATGCAGGGTTGCTTTTCTAATTTGTTTCCATAAGGGACATATTTTTGGCTTGCTTGTTTATAAAAAAAAACAAACCATGGGGAGCCAGACCAGGGACAGATCAGTCTGGTTTAAAATGAACAGAATGAAAAGGGTTGAAAAATTCCCAGGCTGCTTAGAGTTAGCTCTCCTCCCCAAAGCAGATTTGCAGACGCCGAGGCCAGATAAAGCCACGGGAAGGCAGTGGGAGGCTGGGTGCCAGTCTAATCCATAAGCCTCTGGCCTGGGTCTTTTAACAACTCAGCGGCAAAGTTCAGCAACTCGGGCTACTCATTGCCTCTTCTGTATTAGTCATTAGACAACCTCCCCATACACCCCATCTCCGAAACACCTAGTACAGCCTCTCAGCTGTGAATCCCATTCGGGAAACCTAATATACAGATTACAGAGCCATCCCCAATGCAATCAGGGAGTATATAAACCAGTCCATCCAAACCAGGCACTGATGATCAATGACCGTGAAATACTGCTTTTCTCAGATCCGTGGTGCAGTGCCTAATTCTGCGCTACCGCTCAGAGAACAAGTTCAGAGGCCTTTATTTTGCCTTCCCTCCATCAGCGTCAACTGGGAGTGAATTACTCTGGCATGGCATGTGTGTGAGGAGTACCTGGCTTAGTGTTTCTATCTAAATATGTAGTGAGCTGTGAATTACTTTAAAGTATATCTGACCTCTACAATCTGTAGCAAGTCATGGGCATAAAAGGCATGCTTGTTTAAAATCTACCGTAGCTCCTGGCAAGAGGCAGCTAGAAAAGGAAAGGAGAATTTAATTGTCTGTGCAAGGGGCATGTTTAGTGTCACTTGCTTAACTTTGGTAACAGGTGAGTTTGCAAGGTGAGGGGGAGGCAGTAGGGGAATGCAAAGGAGAGAAGAGAAGGGGTGGAGATTTGCAGTCTGGGAGGTGTGGGGGAAGGGAAGCATTTGATCCCCGGGGTCGCCACACTTAATGATGCCGAGTATCCAGTGGAGCATAAG